TGGGGGGGGGGGGGGGCAGGGGAGAGATGACGGATCTATTGGAGAAGAGGCAGACTGAAGGCGAGGAGGGGGTCGAAAGAGACAAGAGGCGCGCCACGCGAGAGGGTACAAAGAACATACGGGCGCAACACCAATTACGTAGTTGACCTCGCCGGCCGGACCACCTGAAAGATTGGATACAAAGTCTTCTTTGAGTTTCTTGTAGCTTGCGTCGGAGCCAGCCATGTTGGCGGTGGGTTGGCAGGTCCGTTCTTAGTTTGCTTTAGTGGTCGTCGTGCTGATGATGATGATGATGATGATCAGGGTGGTTGGTGGTGGTGGTGGTGGCAGTGGTGCGCTAAGAGGCTCGAAACATGGCGTTCAGAGAGGGGGAGCGTGACGTTTGCGAACGAAGGTTTCGGCTATGATTTGATGCCGAAGCAATAAAGAAGGTGAGGCCAGCTGTCAGATAGGCAGATGACAGGCTGGACTATGTCGAAGAGGGGAATGATTCCCAACGATAAAGCTCAAATCAGGAGGGGGAGGCTGTAGCGTGGAGGCAAGGTAGTGTAGGTAGGTAGTGTAAGGAAGCTCGCTACTGACATGCGTAGATTGACACGTTGGGTGGTTTGCCCAAGCTCAAGGCACCTGCCGCAAGCTCCGTCGAAAGCTTCCCGTCGACAGCCAATGAGTAGGCGTCCTTTGACCACGTACAGGGATGCGTCTCCGAGCTCGACTGCTGCTGCTCAGAGAGGAAGAGGCAACTTCCTCCATGTACCTTACTGTACGCTGTACGTACTACTCTTCAGCCACAGCTCCATGGCATGTGGCCCATGCCCCCAGCCACACGGAACGCGGATCGCGGAACGCGGATCGCACAATTGCCCGTCGCCAATCGACAGACTATCGAATGGCATGGGCCAAGTCCACCCCAAACACTACCACCGACAAGACCAAAGCAAGGGAAATAATCAGCTTCATCATTCCTTTGCTTCTCAGGTGCATTGATTATCGAGCATGAATTATACATCAATAGTAAGCGATCGTCATATCGGTCACCATCATCATCGATGCTTCTCTCCGCTCCACCTCAGAACACCTTGGGGAACTGCAGCACCCACACAGACACGCCCTCCGTCTTGTGGCCGGATCCGATCTTCAGCCAGCCGTTGATCTGGATGGCCGTTCGCGGCCCTGATCGACGGACGTCGAACATCGCCCTTCAGCGGCCATCGGCTTTTTTCTTCTCGATATGCTAGCAGGAAAATGGGTGGGTGGGCTCCCTGTAGACACACACCAGACGCCAGACGCCAGTCGTCAGAAGGAGACGGACTCACGGCCTACACGACCTTCTTTTTCCTTTGTTCTCCCTGGCGTCCCCTCTCGACAGCTCGACAGGCATTCCTGGTGGCCGCCGCCCCCGCCTGCTCCTACTGCTGCCCATATCAATTCCTTTGTTCTCTGCCACCATCAAGCAGCCAATGCAGCCAGTGGCAGCCAATGGACGTCAAGCGTTGCCAGCAACTCCAGACAACCTCCGCCGTCTGACCGCAACCGCAACCGCCTCTCCTTTGTCACGTCAGAGTTGACGACCACAGCAGCATGCCGGCCCCCGCGCGGGTGGCAGGGGCCTCTTTCTCTTGGCTCGGCCCTTTGGTCCAAGGCACCTCAAGTCTCACCCTTCTTTTCTGCCGGACTTGTTCTTTGAACCTTTTGGCGCCGCCAGGTTGCCAGCGCACCAGCCGCCGCCCTGGGCCTGTCCTTTCATTTCCACCAGCCCCGGCACTGCAATGTGGTTTGGTGGATCGTGCTAGAGAAAGGATCTGTCCACCCTGCGCCCGGCCACCCTCGTCATTCTAGTCGTCGCGTCGTCGTCGTCGTCGTAGTGGCGGCGGCCGACATGGAAGTCGAGCTGGTCGTAGTGGTGGTGCCCAGGCATGAACGTTTTCTGCTCTGGTTGTTTTGGCTTCTTCTGGCCTTGGCTCTGGCGCCGGCTCTGACTCTCTCGCTCTCCGCTCTCTTCCTTTGGCTCTACTCTGCCCCGCCCCCCTACCTGAAGACGACACGAGACGATTTGAGACGGGACCCGGGGTAGTCTGACTAGCACACCACGGAGCGACCACTGCCACTGGCCCACGATCGAGCCGGGGAAGGCCTGCGTCAACGAAACCAAGAAGAAAGAATCCTGTGACATGATATACTTGGTCTCGCGCGACTCAGCTCACTTCCGCTGCCTCTCTGTCCCTTTTCTCAGCCAGCCGGCATACTCCTCTCCATTTTGCCTCTTCTTGCCTCCTCCTTTCCTCCTTTCCTCCTTTCCTATTTCGGCGCCCCTACATCTAACCTCCTCTGCCGCCTGAAGGAGCAGTCTCGCTTCAAGCCACCATTCCACACATTCCTCCACAACCCCCCTTGACCCCTGATCCTTATTAAGCCACTGCCTGGAATAATAACATCAACTTCTGCTACTGCTGTTCCTGCCTCTTTTCTCAACCGCCCAGCTGCTCGCGTTCACTCCATATTACCTTTCGGTATTCATTCTTCATCATCGGCCCAGCATGGCGACAACTCCCATGGATACTCGGCCCCGTCCTGCCCTGACACCATTATGGACTCCTCACTATAGCCTCGATGGCACGCCTCGCTCGCCGCTCACGATTCCACGCCACAGCCACATCTACTCGCCCGCCCCGCGGTCGCCCAAGACTCTGCCAACCCCCGTCTATCCCACTGGATCTCACGATGGCCTCATGAGACAACATGAGCGGGCCATGGTCGATCGGTTTGACCAACGGCTCAGACAGGACAAACAGAAGGGCGAGCAGTCTCCGCCAGGATCTGCTTGTGTATCAAGGCCTCTCTCTCCCATCACGGAGGGCCTTCTGCCCCCAAGAGATATCTCCTCAGCCTCGGCTTCACCACTACCCAGTGCTCGACGGACTTTTCCACAGCCTCCCACACCAGCTTCACCGGGAAGCACATTTCCTCGTCGACAGACTCTTGTGGCAGAAACTCGATCCATGCTTCTAGCTGGCCTCTCGGACGATGGTGACCGCAGACAATCCGTTCCGTTCAACGCACGCCGAACATCCAAAGCCACGCAACCAATTTCCCTAGAGGGCCTTCGAGCATGGGGCCACGTCTACTATGGCGACGCAAAGAATGCCGACGTCTTTGTCAATGCGGTAGCTCTTCGCCGGACATCAGATGCCAGCACGGCCTCAGAGCACTCCAACACGGAGGAGACGCCTCAGCACTCGCCCAACCCGGGCCAGCAGCCTCGCCGCCACTCGGTTGTCCGAGCACGCGTGCGCCCTCGCAACATTGACAGAAAACCGTTCCTCATCCAGCGCGAGTTTGACCTGACTGAGCTGCGATCTACCATCCCAGAACCCTTGCGAACGCAATCTACGCCTGGTTTCCGCCGTGCGTCCCAAGCAGAGCTGTCGAGCCCAGCCCACCGCCGAACACTCGCCACGGCTGGGCGACGCTCATCAACCATCTCCCGACACGGACTGCAATCCCCTACAGAAGGCAACTTCCCAACTTCTGTCCGAGAATCTCGAGCACTCCGTGCCTCCAGCACGGCAGTCCCCGTTCGTGAGTTACGCCAACTTGTCGTTTTCCAGCATCAAGCGCTAATGTATCTCAGACCTCGAGTATGCTCGCGCACACCTTCCCGTGCTCGCTGCCCTCATTGTCTCTGGCCATGTTCGCGAAGGCGACGTGATCGATCTTCCGCTTCCACATCCGGAAGCCTGGACCAACACGGTGGCTTACGTCTACACCGGCCAGGGCGAACTGACTGATGCCATCCGAGAGAACATTCTCCACTTGGCTGGCAAAGTCTGAGTCTGCTGCAGTTCACGAGTCTGACGAATTACGATTATTATTTCCACCCGGCATTTACCAGTCACGCTGTCGTATGCCAAGTACGGTTGCGCTGATCATCATCCGAACTTGGGTATTCTCTTCTTTGTCCTACTCATGGCATGACTCCAGGAACCTAGCAAAACAGATGCAAGCGAGCTGAGATGGTCCGAGGGAGCGAACATGGGCATTCTAGCTTCTCAACGTCTTCGGACGAGATAGGAAACCTTAATACCACCAGGCGGGGGTTTTCAATCCCCTTGCCCTTTCACGGATATCTCGTTCTCTTCCCCTGTGTCTTCCGCAAACAGAAGGGTCAGCATAACGGTTCGCCTCCTTCCCCTCCGTCTCCGCGCTGCTTATGTCTCGCTTCGTACCCCACACGAACAAGCCATCTTCGCGAACAAGCGAAGCCCCATCCTTTCGTTCGATGCGATGATGGGGCCCCTCCCCATCCAGAAGCTTTCAAGCTAGGGCGGATCGACGCGCCTGCGATTGCCTTAAGGCTCATTGGTCACGCGTAGACACCTGCCACTACGACGGAAGCTAGTCACGCTGATGAAGAGGAGAGGGGGGGGGCTTGCTTGGCACTCTTTCTTTCCTCTCGCCTTTACTATATCCCAGTACTGCCGAAAACGGTTGACGCCGGAGACGGACGCGGGATGGCTTGGACGTGTCTCGGACTTTAATGGAGCCCCGCAGCGGGAGGATGGTGACGTGCGCTGATCGCTAAGCCGTTCGCGGCGACGACGACGGATGCAATGTCTCGCCAAGAGGTCGCTGGCGGCGCTTCGGAGCCGAAGGAGGAGCGTTGAGTTTTGGCGGCGGCTTTTTACCTTCTTGGTCCTTGGTCATTAGGTGTGTGTGTGTGTGTGTGTGTGTATCTCTGTGAGGCCTATACGACGTGGGATGCAGGTTCCCGGTGGCGCATGTCATGAGCGGGCTCTAGAACGAGGCGACAGGCCGGCTTTGGCATGGATTCGCTGAAGAAGACAACGGCATTGAGGTGGGCTCACTGTTCTCTTGGCCTTGCCTTCCGGCTCTCGCTGTTGGGGGAGGGTCAGTGGCATGAAGAGGAGAAACGGTGGCCGGTCTCCTCTGCAGGTTCTCCTAAAGGTTCACCTGGCCGGGGGGGGACGGTTTGTGGAATGTTTGTGAAATGTTGATGGCTTGACGAGGCGGCAATGGGCACGCGGGACCGCTTCGGGATGCCATGAGAGCGAGAAAAGAAAACACAGCATTCCACAGCCCCCCTGTTCCCTCGTGCCTCGTCGCGTTCGCCACACTGCAGTGTCCCCTCCCCCCTCGCCCCCTGGATGTCTCGTGGCATTGTGTGTTTTTCGTCACCACAAACGACCGCCGGAGACCCTTGAATCGGCCGGCACGAAAAAAAGGAGAAAATTCCCTCCCATCGGATGAGGGGTGCTGTCGATTTGCAGTGCTCGCCTCGCGCGCCTGCTGCCGAAGGTGTCGTAGCCGACGATCCACCACATTCACATTTCTGACTCCTCTTCTCGAGGCCCTCCTGAGTCGCGGGAGAGACTTCGCTCTCCACATGGGGTCGTCTCGTACAAGAGAAGAAAACCAGACGGCAGCGCCACAGCTAGCTTCGCTCTTTGGAGGCCGGAAATGTCCTAGTTGTGGCTTGAAGCTGAGGGACCAGAAGTGACGACATCAACGGTGCGGCTCGACAGGCACATCGGTTAGCCGATACGGGAAAAGCGATGAGGATAGAGGTGGTGGTCTGGACCGTGTTCCACGGTCGTTTTCTTTGAAGTCTGCGCATCGTGATATAGGTAGCAATCGCCAATCTTGGCTTCTCCGTCAGTGTTTTCGGGTTTTTTATGCTTGATGAGGGTGGAGATGGTTCGTTTATCTTGTCTCAGACTTTTTTTTTTTTCTTCTCGCCCTTCCATTCTGACAAGTCGTGGGAAACCTGACCAAGGTTTAGGGGCGCAAGTGAAAAAAAAACCAGGGGCAAATTTGCGTGGCCGCGAGGTGGTGTCGTATGCAAAACGTCTTGCCCAGAAATGGCATCAACCCGCTGGTCGCTAGGATATTGTGATCAAAATGACGATCAAAAAACATACAACACCAGGTATTCGCTGGCGGTCACCCACCCAACTACTGATCCGGCCCTTATTGGCTTATTTAGGGGAGAGCGGACGGGATCCCAAGTTTTCCAATAGGTATGGTCGTATGTGCCAGATTTGGTCGCTTCTGCAGTTTATAATGTGAAAAGCACATGTACGGGTCTCGGCGTACGAGGAACACCGCGTGGCTTGAGACAGCGCGTGGGATATACAAAACATGAATAGGAAACCGAAACCAGTCAATGAGTCCTTGTCATGATCAATTCATTACGTCAAAAGCGCGGATTCCAGCTGTCGGATCTGACCTTGGAGGCTGTCACAAAACTACCACCATCCAAGGTAGAGAGATGCCCCTATCCCTCCACCAGCTACGATCATCATGAGAGCGGGAAACGACAAGCATGTTTCCCGCCTACTTGACATGCCTGCACACCATCAGACACTCGAAGTCTTTCTCCCGTGCTACACAGGAACGCCCGCTCGAGCAAGGGGCCGCATCGGGGCGCAGAGATGTGGGTGGGCGCATCTCACGGGCATTTATTCCCATCCTGCCGAGACTGCACTGCGTCAGTGACGACGGCGGGATCAACCACGGAAAGATGAACGGCACAGCCAACCATGGCCATGTGTGTGAACGACGCGCCCAGACTCAGCCAAATGAAGATAAGAAGTCGTATTCATCAGCCCACCTCCCCACGCCACCGACTCGCCCGGTGTCACAAAACGGGGGTGTGCTGCCGCCACCTACCGGGAGGGTGAGATCTAGGGTTTTGAGATGTGACTGTGGTGGTGCCGGGATCGACACGCCAGCCCACGCCGTATCAGCGAGTTGACGGCCACTCGCCGGCCCCGTTTTGCTCCGTCGTGTCCGAGGTCCACGGCACGAACGAACGGACCGTGTCCGACAGAGGCTGGTTTCGGGAGGCGACGGGCCGCCTGGCGTTGACGCCGTCTGGGTTTCCCCTGAGATGTCCCGTCAAACTTTATCTTTCGGATACCCGGTTGTCAGACTGCCGTCCGTCCTGGCCGGCCGGAACATACCATAGAACGCACACAAACTTCAATGGTCGCCTCTCGAAAGACGCACGTCTCAACCTTGATGTCATCCATGTCCATGTCCCGGTATACCTTATACATGTATGGCTTGCGTCGCAAAAGTGTATTGTAGTCCTGCACCCTCCTCTGAACGGTCCGATACCGTTTTCCCTCGGGCATGCGGACAACATGAAAGCCGCCTACGTGTCGGGCGCAACGTCCCCAAAGAGTAGCCAAAGACGCGTAGCTCGCCTCTCTGCATCTCCGTGATGCCGTGGCCGTCATGCCGCCCACCCCCCTTTCCCCCCCGGTCCTGCACTTGACATGTGATGGCTCACACACAAGACCAAGAGAGAGGGTCCCAACAACGCAAGGCAGGCCACCACACGCATCGCAGCCCCCGAATGCAGGCTGCTCCCTCCGGGCCGGACGAGACTGAGGACAAACACACACATACGTCGCAGAAGTAGAAGCAAAAGGCCCAGACTTGGAGAGCGGCAAGCCCGAACGGCCGCACCCCCGCGCGAGGCACCCATCCCCATGCTCACCCTCAAGCCCTGGTCCCCCCGCGTCCCGACTCCGAAACGGACGACGCACATACTGCACGTCTGCGGTGCTCGTACGAACGAACCATACACAGGAACCGCCCGCCCTATTCGCTGTCTGCTGGCTGGCTCCACGAAGGGAAAGAAAAAAAAAAGTAAAAGTGCACACGCAAGATGACAGCAACGACGCTGCAAACAAGCAGCAGCACGCCTGCCAACCAACCCCCCCCTTTCCCTCCCCTCCATCCATCCAGGGCCGGCGCGCGCCCCAGTACGCTCGATGCAAGCAATCGCTGCGTCATGCACGCTCAGACGTGGGCTACCTTGCTGCTGTGCGATTGTATCGGCACTCCCTCCCTCCGCCCCCGCCCGCCGTCCTGGCCCCCTCTCAGAAGCGCAGCTTGCTCTCGCGTCGCTCACTGAGTGGAAGGGGGGGGGGAGCAGAAGTACAGTAGGGAGAGGGGTGGGCGGGCAGTAAAAGTTCCCAGTCGCTAGTATAGGCGAGACGAACTTGCAGGCGGCAGCACTGTACAGACGAGAAGCAAAGGGCAGTCCGTACGGCATAGCAAGAGACCGCAGGCCGAGAGCCCCAAGAATGAAGATCGAACCCCCACAGTGAGTCATTGAGGCCCAAAACCATTTGCGACTCGAAAACTCCGTATTTCATCATCCGAGCAAGAAGAGTGAAAGCTCCCGCGCAAGTTCACAAAATAACCAGCCCCCCCCCCCTGGTCTCGGCGCGGAGGCAGCGCTGCGCGTCATGAATCGGGATTTCCCATCATATGTGGGACGGGACACCAGAGCGACGATCAGGGCCGCCAACGGACCTCGTTGCGTTTGCTTCGATTTTTATTTCTTTCACATTTCGGGGGCCGGCACGGGCAAAACGGAACGGCAAAGTGACGGGCGGGATTGAACAAGTAGAGTTTCCCGTGTATGACGTTGCAAGCGTACATGGAAACACGCGTGCGTGAACAATAGCGCGGGCCAGGCCGTTTTGGCTTGTCCTTTCCTGTTGTTATTCGCCGCCAACTATAGCGAGAGGCTGTTCCGACGGCCGAAGTCTCGCCATGGCGGGCGAAAGAAAACGGCAACGGCGTGTGAGCTAGCAACAGAAACCCTGGGACTACCTCGGAGCGGACGTAATGGTGCCATTTTCGCTGCGGCTCAATCATGTACATGTGAGGTATATTGTTGGATTTCAAACCTAGAAAGCCGTCCCAAAACGGGCATGGCCAGGGGGGCGGGTCAAGGCCCACGTAGGCAAGGTGGTTACATGGTAGTTCGTCTGCGTTGGAGGACGGGTTGA